ATATTTCAAAATTGTTCTCTTTTTTATAAGGCAATCGCTTTTCTGGCGAGTATATTTCAGCACGAATGGGTTAAGGATTGAGCCAGGAGCTTGTGTGAGCAAATCCAATTTTTGGCAGCAAATGTCAGTTACTAGGTTTTGCAGAATGACGATAGGCGGTTTTCTACTTTAAACGACGAAATAGATTCTCTACATGCATTTTATATTTAATTTTAGAAATAAATCACTAAAAGCTGGCTGTGCAATGATGCTCAAAATATATTTTTAAATAATTTTTTTAAATATTTTTTTTTTTTAAGTAAAAAACCACTTTTTTAATTTCTTCAAAGAATATGTTAGCTTCAATTTAAACGAAAATGTGATAAGCACAGTTTACGTCAAATGGGAGCAATGGCGGGTAAGAAGAAGAAATTAAACTACCTTTGAATATTTGTATCACGTAATTTAATATACTGAAATTGAGTGAACTTCAAAACTGCATACTCAAAAAAATTCTAAAAAATTTAGTTTAAAAGTTGAAAATTTTGGTGAAAATTTGTCGAATTTTCCTACATTTTGTAAAAACTTTGAAGCATTAATTTATATGCCATTTGATGCAGAATGAACTATATTTCTATTAAAAATTAACGAAAAAATTTATTACGAAAAACATTGCAAATATTAAAAAAAAAAAAACGCTGTACGGAAACATATTCTGGTGAGTGTATATCTTAAAATGTAGGGAGATTTGAAATGTGAATAAATATTTGCCTGATCTTGTACGCGGTAATCTCGAAAACTACTGAACGGATTTTGACGAGATTTTCCCTAATATACCGGCAGGTTCTGCAATTCACTTCCGAGTGAATTTGAGGTAAGTGCGCTTTGAATTCAAGTTGGTAGGGGTTGAAATTCACTCGGAAGTGAATTGCAGAACCTGCCCGATTCTCTGTATCGATAGGAGAGCGACCTTTTTTTATTTAGAATTTTAAAAGGGCTGCCACCTGTCTTAAAAACTATAAGATCCGCAGCGTGCGTTGGATTACAAAAGATGAGGCGTCAAACAAAAGGAAGTGACCTCTAGAAAAGCACTAATGTTTATTTTTTTTTAATAGGGTTCCCACCTGCTAATAAAATTACAACATACAATCATGATAAGCGTAGACATCAATCCTGCACCGTCTCTGTGAAATGAAAAGACATAGCCTCTAGATGTGCAATAATGTATTTTTCTGAATAGGGTTGCCGCCGGTTGTATAAAGCAAAGTGCAGATTCTTTGAATGCGCTAATATTGAAAACTAGTAAACGAATTTGGGCCAGATTTTCTCTAATATTTTCTGTATAGATAGGACCGCGACCTTTGGTATTTAAAATTTGTATAGGGTTGCAACCTGTCAAAAAAATTTTAAGATCCGCGCAGTTCGTTGGATTGCAAAAAATGATGTGCCAAATAAAAGGGATTACCCTCTAGATAAGCATAAATGTTTTTTTTTCGAGTAGAATTCCCACCTGTTAAGAAAATTTCTATATTCAATCTTAATAAGCGAAGGTATCAGATCTGCACCATCACTGTTAAATGAAAAGACTTAGCCTCTAGATGTGCAAAAATGTATATTTTTTGAGTAGGGTTACCACCTATTTAAAAATTACAATTTTATCCTAACATAGAATAAAGCAAAAACGACATTTTTTGACCACGCCAATCTCTAATGTGCGGCCGTTGTGGTGTAGTGGGCTTTTCGTTGGACTAAAAAGTTAGTTGTCAAATGAAAGGACTTGTCCTAGAGATTTTCAGTAAGATATTTTTTTTTAATAGTTGCCGCCTCTCTAAAAAATTATGAGGTCCGTTCGTTGAATTAAAAACAATAGATATCAAATGAAAGTACTTGGCAATTAAGTGTGCAATAGGGCTTTTTTAAATAGTGTTGCCACCTTTGATGGCGAAGCTCATTTAAAGGGGGAGGGGGTTGAGTATGGTAAGCAAATAACTTGTGTCAAAACCAAGCCAGTTGGACAATGTTTTCGAGTACTACTTAAACACATATACTCATCATTTGAACATAAAAAACATTGCGCGGAAAAGTTTGTCTTACGAATGCTAAGTTATGTTTTCACATTTTATTTACTGACTTTACTTAGGTCATTTGACCTAATGTGCAGTGGTCAAAAAATTATAGCCGAACCACTTTTTTCCAAGTTTTAACGTATTATTTTTATTGTCATGAACTTTTGTTATTTTTTATAAAAAATATAGTTCATTCTTTAACAAAACCCGTGTAACTCCAAGTTTCCAAATTTATGAAATATTGAAAAAAAATTCAACAAATTTTGGCGCAAATTTCTAATTTTTTAAAAATTCTAAAAAATTAATGGTAATTTTTAGCCATTTAAAACTCATACTTTATTCTACGAGAATTCAATGCGCTACAAAACTGCATACCCAGAATTTAATTAAAAAACTCGAATTTTTAACGAAAATTTGTTGAATTCTTTTTTAAATTGCATAAATTTTTAAGGCAGTGTCACTCGATTGGTAAATTTGTACAGATTTGTACATTTTTATATTGGGCTATTGGTAAAAAAATGGGACAATTTTAATTTTTGTAGTCAAAAGATTGGTACAATAAACGGTAGCTATCGAATTTCATACGCTAAAATTTAATTCGTAATACGGCACAACAGAATTGCAAGCGTTTATCGTGTATCGTATGGATTCGTATGGTAAGTCTAATAATCAAGCTTTGTTGAAAAATTCAACAAAATTGTACAAGAAAAATTTTATTAATAATTTTTAGGGGAAATGTTCCGAATAGTATCCGTTAGTTCGAAGCTGGTAAAAAAAAACGAAGGTGGCGTGGAACCTCTCACCTTCCCAGCTTGAAAGAGCAAAGACCAAAGAAGGGAATATAACATTTCTTGTGCATATAAATATTCAAGATGGTGTGAGGGTGATATCATAGTATTTTTGCATAGAACTTCTTTCTGCGTGGCGGCCTTCGAGTTTTTCAAAGTCGAAGTGTCGTGTCCCTATTATTTTTCACATGACTGTATGCATATATTTTTTAGGTGTTATGCTTATAACCATTTTTGAGATTTTGTGGGTCATTATTCCTACTCTTCATTTCAGTAAACGGGAAAATTTTCCAATAATGGACCAGGCTTTGAAAAAAAAGGTTGATGAGGGGGTGTAGAGGGGTCCCCCTGATTCGTAATCTGAAGGTACCGGAGGCTTATAGTTTTACAAAAAAAGTTGCAAAAAAGTCAAATTCAACCTCACTTGAACTGAACAACTGAAATTTCGGTGCTGCCATACATCCCAAAAAAAACAACTGAAAAACAAACTGATCGTGAAAACAATGAAAACGCACGATTTTTTATCGCATATTTTCACTATATATTGAAGTATTGATTTAAAAAAGCACTCCCATTGTTTATCAAAAACTTTCAATATACATTTAAGTATTAGATAAAAAAGAAGCTCCGCAGCCGAACATTTTTAATAAAAAAATCGCGCGATTTTTTATAACAAATTTTCATTAGCGGTCTTCCCTTAAACTCGTAAAAGCCTCGTAAACATCGTAAACATCGTAAAGCTCGTAAATTTACGAGCCTCGTAAAAGAACTGTCAAAATTTGTATGGAGCTCTATTTACGAGCCCCTCGTAAAATTACGAGGCAATCTTTTTTATCTAATACTTTATATAATTAGTATAGATGTGAAGAAATGGGAAAATGTAACAATAAATAACTTTAAAACTGTTAGCATTTCTACACAAAATGTTGAAGAATCGGCCAATGAGCACTTCCTCAACACCCCCTGCAAATTTCATTAAAAAACAGTCGCTATACTTTGCCTGAAATAGGAAATGGTCCATTATTGGAAATTTCAGCCCAGTAAACATCTTACATATTCTCTATTATTTTATCTTCATACTTTACTGACCTCAACGTAAGCCGTGTCCGGAAACATTTCTTGTAGAACTTCAGCCTCGTCCAAATAATAATCGCAGCTCGAACTATCAGTGGAACCACCATCACTGGTCTCGGACAAATGCTGCGCACGTTTGGTCCCGGCCCCTGCTGCCCCACTAGCGCTCAAATTGAACTCGTCTTTCTCAGAATTGGAAGCATTGCGAGCACGTAACTTCGACTCGGGTATAATATCTGATAGGCTTAAGGAACTAAAAAAAAAATAGGAATATGAAATTTTGTATATTTATGCCGACTATACATATCACGTCAAATTATTACTTCAGTGATAAATTTGTTGAACTACGATTCTCCTGATTTTTTTCCATTTCATTCAATTCGCCTGCTAACTTGTATATCCATTCACAAATGATTCCCTGGTCAATGGAAGGAAACTCGGCAAAATAGGCGCCCATCATTTCGACAAACCCCTCTACGTCGAAACATGGGTCCTGTGAAGCTTCTTCCAAAATGGATATAATGTACTGCAAAACTATTTCGTCGACTACGCTAAAATCAGCCCCTGGAATGTGTGCGCTAACGAATTGCACCAGACTGCGTTTTACCATTTCATGTTGCTTCTCCATGTTAGTCATTATGAAATTTAGTATGAGTTCACTTTTTTGAGAAATCTTTAAAGACAATTTCTTTAATTTTTTTTGAGGTCCAAAGTAGCTCAAAATTGTTATTGTTAAATATTAATTTGCGATTAAAAACCAATTTTATGTCGTGATTCGCAAACAAATCTGTATACTAAGAAACCAGCGACGACGCCTGAAAATGTCCCTTTCCTTTTTATCTCGAGTTTGGTCGGCACGTCTTTCCACTATTGCCCTGTCCACCTTTACCATTCGTGGCTCCTTTTTTGTACACGCCGCTAGTGGTACAGAGCTTTCATTACAGAAAACAACGTTTGCTAAACGAACTTTCGACTTTTTTTTAAATCAACGCAAATTCACAAGAAAAACAAAAAAGTGTTTTTTAAAGATTTTTAGCTGCTCCCACGGATTTTATGAATTAATTTCGTTTTTCTTTGCGCTTTCCGCAACCAAACACAAATCGATAATAAAATCGCCAAACGTTAGACATCACGGTTGCCATTTTTGGTACTTAATACTAAAACTGCTACCCTTTTCGTCGGTGGTACTTTCTTTGGCACCCTGAAATTGTGCATATGAAAACTGTGCATACGAAATAATGCATATGAAAAAAAACGAAATTATACATACGAAAAAAACCGAAATAATGCATATATGCACAATTTCATTTGAAAACCGCAATGCATATTAGAAAAACCGAAATTATGCATATGCACACTTTCGTTTGAGACTCAAAATAATGCATATGAGAAAAACGAAGTAATGCATACATGCACAGTTTCGATTCAAAACCGAAGTAAAGGGACACTCAAACAGTCCCGGGAAAGAAAGAAAAAAGTTATTTTCTAGCTTTCGAAATCTCGACGCCATCTTTGTTGTAAGAAGAAAACAACGAAGAGAACAAAAAAAAAACGCGTAATTGTTGAACGCATGAATAATCATTTTTATTATGCAAATTCTTCTATAAATCATGTCGTTGTGTTAAATTATTATTTACCTTATGTGTGCACAAGTTGTCACAAGCGAAAATTAAGAAAATTGCAGTAAAAAGCCACCACCAAATTGTAGACAACAAGCATTTCTGAAATTTACCGTTATATAAAAAGCGGCCGAAATTTTAGTCCGATTTCAATGTTTTGCTTCTATGTGGCAAGCACAATAACCACACCGAGTTTGGTACAAATTGGGAGAACGGTTACCGAGATACATATATGTGATTATAATGGGCGGTGCCACGCCCATTTTCCAAAATTTTATCATAAACGTATTTCTTGGTATAGAATTGTTGCAAGCATCAATTTTGAATAAATTAGCTTTAATATTTACTGATTTATCGAAGATTTCGTATTTCTCCAAATTACCGTTATATGGGATGTAGGCGTGGTTATTGTCCGATTCTAAAAATGTTCGGCCATTTCATATGTTATACCAAGGCCAACCACTGTGCAAAGTTTGGAAGGAATTGGTATAGCGGTTACCAAGATATACACATGCATGCGCGTAGCCAGGTAGGGGCAGGGGGGTGCTCGAGCCAGCCCCCCCCCCCTAACTTTCAAATTTTCCTTATATATATATAAAATAGTACCCTGAAATGCCTCCCCCCCTCTCTTTTCATTCTGATCATTTATGTATACATTTGTCTATATCTATCTCGATTTGTTTTGCCTGTTACAAACAACCGTTATGTGAACAAAGTTATAATACCCTTGTGCACAAGTGCGCTCGGGTATAAAAAAAAGAATAACCATGCAAGTATGAAAGTATGAACAACCACAGGATTAATGAATACAACTACTGGGAAAAAACATCAATGATCTAGTTTTGGTTTTTCATTTGACTAGTTGAAGTTGAAGTATTGCACATATAATTCTTTTACAGGGGTATCTTTATTTAATACCAGATCGCCTTCCAGGATATCCTCTCGGTTCGATGCGTTATTGGACATTGCTTCCGATTTATGTCTGGGAGTGCACCATTTCACATGGCCCTGCTTGTGCCGCCACTCGAGGCGACCAGACCATGTCTTTTCTCATGGATACCCTCTGATTCCCTCTCCATGCCTCCCAGGCTTCGATCCTGGAGCTGCACTGCACACTGCTACTCACTCTTTGATCGACTGACGGGAGCCAAACCTATAAATCTCTTCTTTATCCTCTCTAGGGTTTTCTGTATTCTTAGGTGCTTTCCTTTCGGACCTCAGTGGAACTCGCTAAGAACGTCAGGATGCACGTCACCAGTTATAATCTTCAAACTGTCCCATTATGCAGAGTATTTCTTTGCGATTGGTCTTTCCGCTGACATTTCCTCCCTGGTCGCTCGCTTCCTCAACTCCAATCCTCACATCAAAACTTTCAAATCCGAGTCCTCACACCAAAACTTCCGTAGTCGTTCCTCGCATCTCGCTCTTCCACCGATGTCAACTTCGTCGGGCTTTACTTTTTGCCTTTGCCGCCGACGACCTTTCCCTCATTCCCACGACAGCCGGTTCTACGTACCGGAATGACTCGGGTTTTACCAGGCCAAGGGCTGTTGTTTCGGCGATCTAACCCCGTTTAGGTCGGCGAAATCCTTCAAAAGTTGTACGTTCATAGCGCTGGCATTGAGTCAAACCCTGCGCCAGAAACATATACCAGCTGCGTGTGCCAGAGACGATTACACCACAACTCCACCTCCGTCAGATGCAATACATGCAATGGGTGGAGCCACCGCCAACAACTCCAAGTTCCTCCGACAATCTGCACGGTATGCCAGTCCAGGATATTCCGTAATGTGACATCAGTCAAGTGATACACCTGCCTTGGCTGGTGTCACTTTAGGGCATGCTCAAGACTGCCCACCACGCGAGATTGGGCGAAGGACTATGAGGGCCCATGCTGTGCTGCTCGGTCGCAACCCCCAGCTACGACGCTGACCACTAACACCACAGGGCAACAGCCTCAGCGGACTCGAGCACAGCATGTGGCGGCACGGCAACACACATCACTAACACCCCACATTCCAATAAGTCTCCCTAGGCACACGAAGATTTTACAATTCAACTGTAATGGACTCCAGAGCAAGATCGAGGAGATAACGATCTTCATGACTCGGCACGGAATATTAATAGCTGCGGTCCAAAAGACGAAGCCGCACGGCGATTCAACACTGTTGAATTGCGTCGGATACAACGTGCACCGTCGAGATCACGAGCGAGATAATGGTGGAGGCCTAGCGTTTATCACGCACCACACCATGCAGTATCGTCTTTTCGAAGCAGACATCGACCGCAGGGATACCATCCTAGAATGTCAGGAATTGCTATCCGGTCAGGCATTTCGAGCTCGAAATATTTAATATATACATACATACCTCCTGCCACCAGCTGCCCGGCAGGATATCAGCCAGAAATAGGTGCGCTCCTCGGAGGTGAAAACCGTATGGTAGTTGGTGACTTCAATGCGCACCACGATCAAGCCTGTCAAACGATCGTAGGGGAACACAATTGGCTGAGCAGATAGACGATTCGACATTCTGCACAATGAACGACGACGCACCCACCAGGATTATGGGCAACTGCTGCTCGCCACACCTAACAAGAGTCAGCGCTGGTCTGATAAACAGCGTATCATGGCGACCTATGCTGACTTTAGCATCAGACCGTCTGCCCATAGTCATCTCGATTGATAAACCAGCCGACTTTGCTGCCGCGGATCACCGGACCTATGTCAACTTTTCTAAAGCTGATTGGAAAGACTTCGCGGATGTTACTGAAATCACCTTCCCTACACTACCCATACCAACCGACGTTCACGTAGGTGAACGTAAGTTCCGCAGGGTTGTCACTGCTGCTGCAGCCCGCTTCATCCCGGCGGGATGCATCTCGGACCCTCGTCCAAATTTTCCTGCACAAGCGGCTGTCCTAGCCGATGAGCGCGACAACCTTCGTCAGGCCGATCTCGGTAATCCCCGCAATAGGTATCTGAACTCGGAGATTCGGCAACTTGTGAACGTACATAAGCGGAAGAAATGGGAAGAGCATCTGAAGACCTGCAACTTCGCCTCTGGTGTGAGTAAGCGTAGGTCAACCGTGAGGTCATTGTCCAACCCGACGAAGCGTGACGACAGAGTTGAAATAGACTTTGGTGAACACGCTTCGTCGGACCCGGAGCGATGCGCGAGCTATTTTAGCCGGCAGTTCATCCTGCATCCTGCAAACTGCCAAAAGCAAGTGCGCCTCTTGTTTTTACCAGCGGTGAGGTAAGGGACTCAAACGGTGGTCGGCGAATTATCTGAGTGGTCGTCACTCGTCGGTAACTTTTATAGACAAATCGAGTAAAGCGAGGAAAATAAAACAGGGGATTCCACAAGGTGGTGTCCTTTCCCCATTACTGTTTAACTTTTATATTTAAACGCTCCCTCAACCACTAGAGGGAGTCTCGATTGTCTCTTATGCCGCCGATTGCTCGATCATGGCGTCAGAGAATGGAGTTGATGACTTGTGCTCGAAAGTAAACGGTTATCTCGCCGAGCTTTCTCGCTTCCTCACTGCACGGAGCCTAACCCTCTCCCCTACAAAATCCTCAGCCACACTTTTTACCACCTGGACGAAGGAGGTCAGACTCCGACTGGGAATTCACGTCGATAATACACCAATTCCGACGGTGAACAACACGAAGATACTCGGAGTAGCATTCGATAGTATACTCTCCTTCTCGGCGACCACAACCGCAATTGTCAACAAAGTACAAAGTCGCAACAAGGTCCTCAAGTCGCTGGCCGGCAGCACCTGGGGCAAAGACAAAGAAACGTTGCTGGCAACATACAAGGCAATTGGCCGGCCGGTTCTGAACGACGCTGCGCCAGTGTGGTCACTGGGGACCAGACTTGCCAGAACACGGCACTTGGGACAGTGACAGGATGCCTCCTGATATATAACGTGCACGAGGAGGCCCACATGCTCCCAGTTAAAGAGCATAACCGATGTGGCCATCCAAACAGGAAACTCCTTGCAGAAGAGCCTTCGCCCAGGCACATCAGGAGGCATCTATACGAACGGACGAAGTCCAGAGGTTCATTAAACAACCTCTGGACCCGACAGCCTATCGACAGGCCTTGAACGGCATTCACAGAGAGGCAGTCTCGAGTTATGTAGACTCCCGACCTGTGAATGTCGTTCTGGGCACACAACCACCAGACGTGGACGAGACAGAACTTCGTCTGCCTCGGACTACAATAGCCCAACTACGCTCTGGTTACTGCAGCAGGTTAAACTCATACCTGAGCAGATTAAACTAAACGAAGATATTCGAAATGAACGCCCGGCATGCGAAGAGTCGCCCCATGACTCACAGCATCTCTTCCCACCACGCTAACGCCCCTGTCCCTGTGGACAGACCCCGTCGAGGCTTCACGCTTCCTAGGGCTGCCGTTAGTGGAGCTTGACGACAACGACTGAGGGACTAACCGATCTGGGTTGGGTTGTTGTAGCCGCTACAACAACAACAACAACAACAACAACAACAACAACAACAACAACAACAACAACAACAACAACAAC